CTCCCCCTTGCAGCCTCATTCAGAGCTCCCCCTTCCTCAGAACTTTCTGTCACCGGAGGCACGCGCCGCCTTCAAGCACTCAGCATGTCGAATGGCCTGGGAGGCAACGAGAGCCCCTGTAACGCCTGCCGAGCTCCCTGCCTGCCGAGGGGAGGCCCGAGGCCTTGGCACCCTCTGACCCTCCCTCTGCACTTTGTCTCTGCAGTCCAAAGGAAGCCTGGAGGTGACGGAGAGCCAGTCTGCTGACGCCGAACCACCCCCCCCACCTAAGCCAGACCTCAGCCGCTACACGGGCCTGAGGACACACTTAACCCTGGCCACCAACGAGGGTAAGGAAGGCGTGCAGGGTCCCCAGAGGGAGCCCAGGGCTGCGCCAGGCAGACCAGGAACCAGGGCCGTAGGTGGAACAGGCTGCAGGGCAGGCCCGAAGCACATCAGCACCACTGCACCGTGGGGCAGGACGTGTCCACATTTCTGGGCTGGTACATGCAGCCCCTCACACTTGGAGAAGCCTGCGGGATGCTCACAGCCAGCTCTACTCCGTCGGAGAGGAGCAGGAGGCCGCTGTGAGCCAGCGCGGGGCTTGTCCAGAGCCTCTGCGAGCCATGGAGGCGTGCAATGGGCTGGCTGGCGGGCTGCATGCTGCAGGCAGGCACGGGAGTGTCGCCAGGACGAAGGAGGTGAAGGAGTGGCAGGCCCGGCGTGGCAGCAGAGGGCACATTTGCGGCAGCCGGCGCAGTTGCTTTCCCTGCTCCCCTGCGCACCGGCAAAGCGGTGCTTGGAGCCGCCTGCGAGGGCTTGGCGAGAGAGGTGGGATGTGAAGGGCGGAGCTCGGAAGCAGCCGCTCCCCGCAGCTCTCCCGGGCTGCCTGGAGAAGGGCTGTGGCACGCCAGGGGGTGGCCAGTGGCTCTGTGAAGCGCCCGGCCCCCACCACCGCCTCCTGCGGTGCCCACCCTGGCGTGTGGCCCAGCCGGGCTGTGGAAGTGCCAGCCCCAAACGTCGCCTCAGGCACTCGTTTCCCATCCCGCTCCATTTCATCCGCCCCCGTGCGCCTCTCCTCCAGCCCGTCCCTCTGTCTGCCTCCCCGGTCTGTCCGCCCCAGGCTCAGAGCCGGTTCTTGGGAAGGGAGGGCAGAGCTCTGCACAGCCCCAGGCAGCCGCTGTGTCTGAGCCCCCTTCTCTCCTCTCTTCCCGCCCGCAGACAGCAGCCTGCTAGGCAAGGACAGCCCCCCGACCCCCACCATGTACAAGTACCGGCCCGGCTACAGCAGCAGCAGCAGCTCAGCAGCTCTCCCCCACTCCACCAGCGCCAAGGTAAGGCCGTGCCTGCCGCCACCCCCAGCCCAGCAAGGGTGGAGCCTGGCCTCGAGAAGATGCCCTCAGCTTGGGGGGAGGCTCTGGGGTGGGCGCTCGGAGCCTTGCAGGGAGCCCCATCTTTCTGTGGTTAACGGCTGCATCTCTGCCCCTCAGCTGAGCCGAGTGAACAGCCTGAAGGAGCCCAACTCCATCTGCGAGAGCAGCCGCCAGCCCAACTACCGCTCGGAGCCGAGCCTGGAGCCTGAGAGCTTCCGCTCACCCACCTTTGGCAAGAGCTTCCACTTTGACCCGCTCTCCAGCGGCTCCCGCTCCTCCAGCCTCAAGTCGGCCCAGGGCACGGGCTTTGAGATGGGCCACCTCCAGTCGATCCGCTCCGAGGGCACCACCTCCACCTCCTACAAGAGCCTGGTGAACCAGACGCGCAACGGCAGCCTGTCATATGACAGCCTGCTGACACCCTCCGACAGCCCCGACTTCGAGTCCGTGCAGGCGGGCCCGGAGCCCGACCCGCCGGTGGGTTACACCTCGCCCTTCCTCTCGGCCCGCATCGCCCAGCAGAGAGAGACCGATCTGCACGGCCGCTTCGCTGGCGCCGTCTCCCCCAAGCATGCGCCACCCCGCGAGCCCTCGCCCGTGCGCTATGACAATCTCTCCCGCCACATCGTGGCCTCCATCCAGGAGCGGGAGAAGCTGCTGCAGCAGCCGCCGGCCACGGGCAAGGAGGAGGATGCGGGGCTGGTGGACTCGGGCCTCCAGTCAACACCAGGCTCCAGCAATGCCCCCCGCACCAGCTCCTCCTCGGACGATTCGAAGCGCTCACCCCTGGGCAAGAACCCACTCACCCGCCCGGCCC